TGTACTTAAACGCCTTCTCGATTTCGTGATTTAGCGGCAACAACTCCTTAGTCTCCCTTCTTCGCATACGCCAAGAAGAAATATTCTGAACTTTTCCTGCACACTAAAACACAAATCAAAATAGTTCACTCAAACAAAAATTTATTAAAACTGAATTTTTGGCAATCCCCGGCAACGGCGCCAAAAACTTGGTGGCGACAAAACTGCAAGTGCACAGTGTCGTACAAGTAATAAAGTGTAAGTAAAATTATCGTTCTCTAGGGGATTGGTGAAACTCAATAATTAACAAATTTAGTTCAAGAAACTATAGGAATTGCAAAGGTTGTAATCAAGTGATGATTTGCAAAGATTGCACAAATTAAGTAACTCGATAAATCAACTATTTTGGAGAAATTGATATTGGAGAGTTCTGGGGGAAACACAAGATTTTACTATTTTACCTCAGTAAATTTAATTACCCTTGTCAATCGATTTAATCCATATTTCTACAGTCGAGATACCTCTAAATTGATAGCTATCTCCATCGAGAATTACCACGTACTAACTAATTAAGACAATTTCTACTATCGTAGTTAACTGAATTAATTAATTAGCCTTAAGAATGATATCCCTAAAATGACTGCATAATTCCCTATTTAATCCACTATCGCTTCGATAGGCAATTATGTCGTGTGAAATGTGTTCGGTTACTAGGTTTTCACTATCGTTATTAACCTAGAAAACTACAAATCATTGTGAAGGTGACCAATCAACACAAAGCGTTAAACAATTCCACACGATAGAAAATGGAAGAAAAACAAGTCATGATTAAAACATCGAGGCTAGATAATAAAATCCATAAGTTTCCCCCAGAAATTGGGGGATTAGTTCATGATGGAAAGAAAGTACATAAACATGATAATGTTCAACATCACAACTAATTACCTAAACAAAGGAGTAGAGAAAGTACTAAGTGTTGAAGTTAATCCCCAACTTACAAGAGTCTTCCTTTCTTCAAAATGCTCAACTCCAAAGTGTGCCAAAGTGAGCTCTCTCCTTTGATTTTTCTGTCTAAAACTAGTCTCCAAAAAGTGTCTCCTTACCCTCCTAGTTGCTGCCCCTTATAAATCCATTTTCTGCAGATTTAATCCCACAAAACAAGACACTTGCAGGTCACATTTCCAAGAGAAGGCTGCTGCTAGCTTAAGTCTCTTTCTTTGCAATAAATTCTTGCATCATTTTCTCTATTGGTGAGCCACCAAATCAATTTGCTCACTTCAAGAAATATGATCAAATCCCAATAATTTCTGAGGGCTGCTGACAGTTGAGTGAAGATTCCAACCACAATAATTCGATTTGGGTCTTCATCAGTTTGGCCTCCTGCTGGACGTTTGCCTCTGCACATCTGCATTTTGACACTGCACCTGCATTCGTCCACTGCACTTTGTTTTGTTCACAATCTTAGCTTCAATCTGTGTTAAATCGCTACATGTCTTGGTAATGACACTAGGGCCATTCCATGGTCAATATGAACTAATTTAGAGCAATTTAAACACATATATACATAAAGATCAATCATTTATGCACAAAATACATATATGTTTATGAAGCTTATCACAGAGCTACCTGGGTTTTCTTGATGAAGCATAAATCAGATGTTGAGCGATATATATGCATGTTCTGTGAGTTGGTTCGGACTCAGTTTGGTTCACAAATGTGTCGTTTTCAGGCCGATAATTGACATGAGTTTCAGACTACCTCTCTACGTGATTACTACGAGGCTCATGGGATCGTCTTGCAGACCTCTTGTACTGATACTCCACAACATAATGGAATAGTGGAGCGGAAGCATCGTCACCTTCTTGACACAGCCCGTGCTCTCTTGTTTCATGCCGGTTTACTTGTGCGTTTTTGGGGCGATTGCGTAATTGCTGCCACATACTTGATCAACAGGCTCCTTGCAGTACCACTTGCCAGGAAATCTCCCTATGAGGTTCTTCTCAACTAATCTCCCTCATACACCCATTTATGCAGCATCGGTTGTCTCGTCTATGCAAAAGACACTCATCATGGACTGGACAAGTTTGCAGAAAGGGGGAGAGCTTGTGTTTTCTTGGGATATCCAGCTTCTCAAAAGGGATACCGAGTCTATGATTTGCGCACTCACAAAGTCTACGTGTCTCGTGATGTACATTTCCTAGAGACGGTTTTTCCCTTCAAGAGTGATCAATCACCCATCACTGGCCGCCCTCCGTCTGTTTCTCAAGGGTTGGACGTTGTGCATAGCATGCATGACTTGTCCACTTCTCGTCCTACCGTCGGGCCACCAGTTCCTCACCCTGATGCTACTTCGCCTGTTCACCTTGATGATCATGAGTCCCCATTTGACGAGGAGCTCCCCTCTACTAAACACTCCACGAATAGCACTTCGTCGCCAGCTGTTCAGGGTCCGGCCTCCAATGATGGTCCCGAACCTGGTGCTCTTCGGCGAAGTCTTCGTACCCGTCATCAGCCCAGCCGGCTCGATGGTCATGAGGTAGATCTTCCTCCTTCCCTTGCACCCACTACGTCATATCCTATTTCCCATCATGTTTCTTATCATCGATTCTCACCTTCACATTTTGCTTTCCTTGCCGCCATCACCAAAATGGACGAGCCGAGGTTCTTCTCGCAGGCTATCCAGCTTGCGTGCTGGCGCGAGGCGATCCAGCACAAGATCGTTGCTCTTGAGGCTAATGGGAGATGGACTTTAGAGTTGTTGCCACCCGGAAAGCGTGCGATTGACTCTAAGTGGGTTTTCATGATTAAATATTATCCATATGGTACGATTGAGCGTTACAAAGCCATCTCGTAGCCAAAGGTTTTACTCAGCTCGAGGGCATCGACTTTCATGACACTTTTGCACCTGTTGCTAAGCTTGTCACCGTCCGAGTGCTCCTTGCTGTCGCTGCCCATAAAGGTTGGTTTCTTCATCAGCTCGACGTCATCAATGCTTTTTTGCATGAGAACCTCGAAGAAGAAGTGTACATGAAGGTACCCCAGGGTTTTCAGAAAGAAGGTGACCAGCGCGTTTGTCGTCTCCATAAATCATTATACGGACTGAAGCAGGCTTCGCGGAACTGGTATACCAAGTTCACCCAGGCTCTTGTGGAATTTGGCTTTCAGACTTCGAAGGCTGATCCTTCATTGTTCACGCTCTCCACGTCCACTTCCTTCCTTGCCGTGCTTATCTACGTTGATGACGTGGTGTTAACCGGTGACGAGGCTCTACTTGCTCAGGTGAAGGCCTTTTTGTACCAGCGTTTCAGTATCAAAGATCTGGGCCCTCTAAAATATTTTTTTGGCATTGAAGTTGCACGCTCTAGTGAGGGCATTGTCCTCAGTCAACGGAAGTATACCATGGACATTCTGTCCGATGCTCGTGTTGGTGCAACTCGCCCAAGTAAATTTCCTATGGAGCAGAACCATACTTTGACTCAGCCGAGTGATGAAGTGGCCGACGATGCCAGCTCTTATCGGCGCCTTATTGGCCGCCTGCTCTACTTAACCATCACACGACCTGATATTGCTTATGCAGTCAATATCCTCAGTCAGTTTATTCATGCTCCGAGTCCTGCACATGTGTCTGCAGCTCAACGGGTCCTGCGCTACCTCAAAAATTCGCCGGGCCAAGGTATATTTCTTCCTACTGCTGGTGATCTTGTGTTGACAGCCTACTGTGACGCTGATAGGGCTGGCTGCCAATCTACCCGTCGCTCCACTACGGGATACTATGTTCAGTTAGGGCATGCTCTTGTCTCCTGGCGAACCAAGAAGCAACGTGTTGTTGCCCGGTCCTCTGCCGAAGATGAATATCGTGCTATGGCACGCACGGTCAGTGAGGTTATCTGGTTGCGTTTCCTCTTGCAAGAGCTCAGGGTTCCTCAGACCGCTCCTACAACGCTCTTCTGCGACAATCAGGCAGCTCTCCACATTGCAGCTAACCCAGTTTTCCACGAGCGTACCAAACATGTGGAAATGGACTGCTATTTTGTTCGTGAGCGTGTCACTTCAGGGGACATTGCCCCCCGCAAGATCGGCACGACCTCTCAACTGGCTGACATCTTCGCCAAGGTTCTGTGTACTGATCAGTTTCACCTCCTCTTGTCCAAGCTGGGCATTCGTGATCTTCATGCTCCAGCTTGAGGGGGAGTATTGGGCTGCATTGTTTTCGGTTACTTAATTTAGTGACTAGTTTGTAATTATGCATAATAAACCCTACCCGTGTGCTTAGTAGAAGGGTATAAGTAGCTAGGAGTCTTGACCATTCGGATGTAAGCAGCAGCCATACATACTGCACTCTCTTTCCGCGTTATCAAATCTTACATAATCAATACAAGCACACAATGCCTCACCGATATAACTCGACAGGTCATTCTACACTCAAGTGGAAGAAGAAGCTATTTGAATTGAACCTGAATTCAGTCAGCACGTATTAATCCCGTCCCGTCCTTGCAATCACTCGTCAAATTATAGAACGTCTCAACCCGAGTCTTCCCCCTATAGAACACCTCGATCAGTATACACTGCAACTCTCATATACCCATCAAACTCCACTGCCCTCCCGCCATTCAATTCCCTCGTCTCGTTATACCACTCGCTTGTTTCCCCCACATCTCCTTGTAATCATCTAGCAAATGCACCTTAAAGTGCGACCTCAGCTTATCGAAGTAATTAGAGAACGACTCGTTCGTCACCACATACAAGTTCCTCCACGGCTGAACCATCTTTTGAACCTTCTCCACCAAGGCATCTGGGGACGTGTCAGCATCTAGATGCGGCTTTATTCCCTGCTTTAGGGAGCTCGAGGCGGAGACAGGGGCGGCCAAGTTGTGAAGGCTAAATGGAGAAGACTCTTGCCAGCGGCCTGTAGAGCGCCGCCGATGAAGGGAAAACACCCTTGCCTGGCGATGCGATCGAGCGGTTGCGATTGCAGGTGACACTGCGGCTGCAAGAGCGGGAGATCGAGAAGAAAAGGTAGGGTTTTCTTTCGTTTCCATACCCCTGCTCTGCTTCTCGCCTTCTCCCAGCAAAACGACGCCGCACAGCCTGAAACGACACCTCAAGAGAGCAACCCTTTGACCCGCTCGGACGGGCTAACCGCCCGAGTTTCGCCGGGTTTGACCAATTCCGGGCTGATAGTCAAAAGGTTTACTATGACCCTTTTTTATTGCGTGTCCGGGCCAACCCGGATCGGTCCGCGGGTTAACAACCTTGGTCACAACAGTGGGTCGGGAGGCCGAGACAAGCAAGCACCCTGCCTTCTTAGTTGATTTATGTGCACAAGGTTCAGATACGGAAAGCAAAGGGTCATATCATTCAAGCCACAGAGCTTGCTGCTAATTACTCTCTACAACAACAAATCACCACATTTACACAGTGATTTAAGAAACCTAATAAGCTGGACTACAGCTTGACAACAGCTCCCGTGGTCTGGGTATCAGGTGGTGCAAATGGGACAATCAATATCTGTAGTCGTCTTCAGGATGGCCGAATATCGAGTAACCGGTGGTGCTCCTGGATTTATCCTGCAAAAACCACCCCCGCAGAGAAACACTTTGTTAAAGGTCACTTCAACATACACTGGAGAATGGAAAGTATAACCCTACTAAGAAACTGTGCACTCCACAAGTTCGTTTGAATGTATGGCTGCCATAAGAATCAGAGTTATCAGTTTATGAAGGCATTAAATACCCTGTGGATAAGAGTCTCAAACGCCTCTGTGCCATGCTCTTGGATGTATTTCTCGGCGGCAGTCAGGATATCTTCTTTCTCAGTGAACACGTCCTTCCTTGGGACATACCATATGTTTATGGTTTGTTGCGGGTTGAGGAAGAGTGGCCTCAGAAAGTGCTCATAAACATAAGCAGCGCCACTGAAGTACGGTAGCACCAACCAGCAAGTGAAAATGAGCTTTACATAGGACCAGATGGGTATCCTGGCAGTCATAGCATGATTCATAAATAACTCTTATCAGAAGACCGACATATAGAGGCAAAAGTCTAAAAGACCAAGCTTAGCCACTCAGTTATGCGTAGCGATATTTGACTATCTGATTATCATGAGCATAGAAGAAATGATCTGATTTCAGTATGGATAAGCTTGTGGGGATCCTGAGAAGCACAACGAATTACAAGAACCACTACCACGAATGCATAACATAGATAAGAGTTCCATAATGTTTACTCTATTAGAGCATCTATGGTCAAAATGAGCTGAGCTGCAGGGATAAGAAGAAAATGAGTCACCATTCAATAACCCTTGCGAAGGTGAGCTCCAAGAGTGTGATCATAGAGTAGAGAACCCAATAGGTGAGCCATTGACGATCATCATTCTGAGATTTGGTCTCTATAGCCCGGATCGAAGCGTACCTGTGGCCGTAAAACCCAGATTTATAAGCTACCCAATTCAGTTCCAAGCAGACAGATTGACAAACTTGGGAATGTTCAGCATCTATCCAACTCCAGCCCATGAAAGAACGATTCAGAACTTGTAAATACCAAAGGAATCGAGATTCACACGAAAAGGAAAAAAGTAACGATGACTTACAGAGGATAAAGGAGACTGACAACAGGCCTACAACAAATCAAACCGATAATAGTCAAATGGGTTTCATTTCCCTTGTTAAGAATCAGAACCTGGTTAAGTAAATCTCTGAGCTTTTTCTAGCAATCCAATGAATCTGGGAAGCAAAACAGTAAATGGGGAAGAAGAGGAAGCGTACCCAGCAAGAACATCAAAGTTCTTGAGAAGAACCTTGAGGAAGCTTCCAGCACCAGATCCCATAGCAGCTAGTAGACGTGGGTTTGCTTTCCGAATGTGCGGTTCCTTTCCCTTCCTGGGTCTAGCTAGGAACAGAAGAAGCCGGTGATAAATGTGATATCTCCGGTCCCTGCTTCCTTTCTTTCTTTCTTCGCTCACAGTCACCGCCGCTCTCGGGGTTTTGTCGCGATGAGGGCGCCGACGGAAGTGCTTTTGGCCCTTTGGATATGTGTGGGTGGCTGGCGGTCTATTCGGCGTGTCGGGAAGAAAGCGTGGACAGGTGCTTTCGTTGGGGAGTGACTGAGTGAGGTGAGCAGTGGGAACTGGGAGAGAGTGGGCGACTGGAGTAAAGTAAATACTAGGTGGAGGCGAAGTTTAGTAAAGCATCCCCAAAGGACGACTAAAGTTCGAAAGGCTCCTCAATTTTAAGCTTTATTGAAATTTCAACACAACACTTCTAAATTAGCTATTCAAGCTTTATATTATATTACAACAAACAAACAACAACGAACAAATCAAATGCAAATCCAACAAATCCCTAAACAAAAAATCTTGCATTTTTCCTATCTTCTAACTGTTTCGTTGGCGAAACTTCACGTGTTCGATGCGCACTGTTTTCAATTAAAACACAAACACGAAATCAGCAAAATCGTCAAATATCCGCCGCCGAAGTCGGCGTCGTTGATTTGATCGATTAAAGCAGAAAACAAGACGATCGTCAAATGGCCGCCGCCGGTATCAGCGTCGTTGATTTGATCGATACACCTTTGACTTCTAATCAAACAACTATTATTCGGTTCAACACCTCTCCAAACTACGTTCGAACGAGGGTGTTCAACGAATAAACAAAGAATCGAACCAGGAGTGTTCTAAATTACGTTACCTCTACTCCTATGGAGGTTCCTCTGGAGAGCTCCGCGACTACGACTACAAGCTACGATCTACGACTCTGCAAAGGAGTTCTTTGACAGAGCGGTTCTACGAAACTAGAGAGAAAAAAGATAATTCTGCAATGGTGCAGTTGTGATTTGATTTTGCCGTCTCGAGCTTCTCTCTCTTCCCAATCTTTATACTTCGCGCTTCTCCCCGTCGTAGTAACTGCCTTGGCGCCTTTGTCTCCCACGTCTTCATTCCTGTCAACCGTGCAGGTAACTTCCTCCTTGTTGCGTGATAATCACGTGCCCTCGAAACCGCTCTGCTTTGCAGAAACTTGGCGAAACGATTTACAACCTTGTCTATGTAACGATGACGTTTCACCAATACCACGACATCGCCTGACTCACTCCTACTGTCACTCTAGAAAATGGCCAAGTATAACCACTTCCTAAAGCGTAGTATAGCGGGTCGGGTTTTAATGTCAACCCGGGTCCTAGATGTGATGACTACTCGGTGAAGTCTTGTTATTTAGCGGTGAACTTTTAGTGAAACTCAAGCAAACAAAACACAAAGCAAGTAAACGGTTTGTTGTCAAGTCAAGAGAGGTCACCCGGATATGGTTCCCCCTAGACTGCAGTTAAGTCGGATTGCAATTTACCAAGTTCAGTTTTCATGAAAGTTATACTGCGGAAGGTTCTCAATTAGTCTGAAGTCTCGACTAAAGGTCTCCAGACCCTCTCAATCTGAGTCTCTAGCGGGCGACTAACCTCCACCGGAGTAAACAGATTGAGGCCCTAATGAACCAAACCTCCACTACCGAATTGACTTCGGTACAGAATAGCGAATTGGCTCCTCGACTAAAGTCACCAATTCGCCACCTTCGATTAAGGGTACTCTATCAACCTAGGCAGATATTCTCATTCTAGGTCAAAGCAGAAACAACAGGAATTTGATCAGGATTCAAGTCATTCAATCATTCAAACCTCAATCGAATATAATCAATTCACAAACTCGGTACTTGGGTTCATACAATCAGACCTAGCATACAAATCTAGGGTTCTCCATACCCAGATGAATGGGGAAACTACTCCATAGAGAAAGAAGCAAAAGCAGATTCAGACACGGAAATCATACTGTGAAGTTGGATTCCTGCTCCTGGACGTTTAATCGCACTTCTCCAAGCCCAAGACGGGCTCCAATGGTGTTGAAGATCGATCTATGGCGCTTGAGAACTCTGGTTCGACGCTTTCTCTCTCTAGGAATCGATTTCTCTCTCAAAAACTCGGAACCCTTTGAAAATTGGCCTTCTTCCTCTTTTATCAGCTGACCCCGCGATACCCGGTCGGGTATTTTATGGTTCGACCGGGTATTGTCGAAACGCGCCGTTCCACTAAAGGGGAAAATCCCCGGTCTACCACCAAAATCCCCGACCGGGGATTTATCGCCATCGCCCGGGCCCCCTTCTGTTTCTCACGGGTGCCCGAAGGAGGAAATACCCGGTCGAGGCCAGAATATACCCGGTCGGGTATTTCTTCCTTTGACCGGGTATTTTGGTCCAGTAGCATCCTTTGTCCAATCTTCGCTCCTTTCGATCCGGAACTCGTTCCTTCGCCTCGATTCCAACGCCAGGACCTGAAATATGACATAAACACACAACCTAGCGTAAAATCGGCTTAAAATACGAGATTCCTCATCACAAACGACTTCAGAATAGGGGTGAAAACATGTATGATTATCGGTCTATCAAACTCCCCCACACTTAACCGTTTGCTTGTCCCCAAGCAAACCAAGTCAGACACTAGGTAAGCTTACATATTTCATTCAACCAACATTGGGGACAAGTCATAAAGGCACAAAACACGTGAATCGCACTGGTTTTCAAACATCAATACATGCACAACCTCAATGACAACCTGGACAACCACCACAAAGGACATTCGAGTGCAGCAAATCGAGTAAAGGAAGAGTCTCCCGTCTGTTCACTAGCCAACCTAGACTTGATTCAACCACTTACTCAAAACAGCCAACTCATGCATCCAACTCAAGACATCAGAATAGAGACCGAGCAATCTAGGTCCTCCCCGGGGTACAAGAGCATATAGAAAATGAAAATGAATCACTCACTCTCGACCAGTGGGGTCAGGACAATTTTTATGCGAAAGATGCGCATGCTATTTCTCTCAATCCCTATCATCTCTTCACCATGATGGCAGCCTCTAAATGCTAGAGTTCACATATGGGGTGTCACCACTAACTAATCAGGAGGTCTTAGACACAGGTTCAAATGACTGGTTGGGGTCTTGGACATGGGGAAAAGGCCTTTTAGGTGGTGGAAGTATTCATAACAAAAGGTTCCACATTTTCCAAACACACAATCACAGTCAAACAACCCGGTACTTTCTTTCTACTATTCTGCATTACTCAATATCTTAAGAGCACAAGAGCGAAGGAGGCATAATCATCAGCATTTCCAAGCCAGACTGCTAAGAAAACACTGCTTACTGGGCATTATTCAGATTTTTGGTAGTGGCTCTCTTTTGCTTTCAATTTTTCTTTGTTGTTCTTTCATTTTTCTTTTCATTTCCTAAGAGAACCACCACTTCTGCATAAATTTCAAACACCTGCCCAACTTTAAGCACTACCTCCAACACTCACATAGACTTTAGCAAAGACAGCAGAGAATATATATAAAAACCACTCTGTGGAACCTTCTAAAAGATGCAACAAGGGTGATTTTTTCATTATAAACCAAAAGAAAGGATAACACACGGCTCAAAGGGGCTGACTAGGGGATATGACACATCAGGACAGTCAGTTTTGGGCGTGGGCTAATCCTATGCCCCCATCATCTTAGCTAGTGACAACGTGAATGCTACACATTATGGAAGAGGGATCTATCGCACAAGAAAGAAACGAGCAGGCTCAAATCTCACATGGCTACCTATATGCTCTATCTCACATTCTGATACCCTGAACTAGATGCATAAACGACTGTCAAGGACAAGTAATCAGATCAAGTCAGATCAAGTCACAGTTGGCCAGCAAACAGTTGAAAAACTGAACCCCTACATCGTTTTACTGCACATCTCAGTCCTCATCATAGGTTGTCCTAGTCACAAACAAGTTGTCATGCATTAATCCGAAAACCAATCAATTCATCCATCAAAACACAGTGCCAATATGATCAAACAGCAGTACTTGGAGCCCTCAAATCGTAAGATTTGGACAGTGGACTAGGCTCCAAGCACACAAACAGAGCTAATGCAGTCAAAAGATAAACATCCCCCCCACACTTAAGATCGACATTGCCCTCAATGGAGAAGAGGGAAGGAAAGGGAAACGATGTTACCGGTATGCACAGACTGCAGGAGACTGGAAATGGACCAGTCGGCATGGGGCGGACTGGACAGTGGACCAGTCGGGAACACAGGCAGAGCTAAAAGAGACCAAAAAGCTCAAACACATACGTTAGGTCCAATGGTCAGCCCAATAGTACAGCATCCAGAATGAAAAGAAAAAGAAAAAGAAAAACCGACACAAAACATACAGTTTGCATGCTGACACAGATAGAAACTCTCAAAACACGCCCCTAGGGCCCTCCGAGACCGGAGAAATCAATCTGATCCATAAGGTCGTCGACGCCATCATCCGGAGGCTGCCGTGGTGGTGAATGCTCCCACCGAGTGGTCCAGTGGTGCTCCGCCGGAGGGTGGCAAGCCTGGAGTAGATGCTCGGAATACTCCATCAGACGGCGGCCTCGGTCTCTCTCCCTCTCGATGAGAGCAGTAGTGTGGCCCATGTGGGTCTCCAATCGGCCAAGGCGCTCATCCATGCCCGTCATCCGGGACCGGTACTCGGCCTGGTGGGCCGAATACTGCTGGTAAAACTGGACCTGATGGTCCATGAGCTGCTGGTTCTGAAGACCCAGCTGCTGGAACTGGAGGCCCATCTGCTGGAACTGCTCCGTGAAGAAGTCCACCGACGGACCAGAAGGACCAGAGGAGGACTCACCTCTCACTGGTCTCCGTCGAGGCTGAAGATCCCCCGGGGGGGAGAGCGAGGGCTCCGGCGCATCGGCATCCATAACGCCGTCATCATCATCATCAGCATCCTCATCCACCTCCTCATCGTCCGAGTAGTCCGCATCCTCCTCGTCCGAGTCGAGATCAATCACCCCCGCGGGGGGCATAGAGAGCCCATCCACCCAGGTGCGGATGTCATCAGTGGCCAGGAGGCGCGCGTTGTTGAGCACGTCCCGGCTGAGGGGTGCGGAGCCGCCCATCACAGTCGCATTGTGAAGCCCCTGAAAGCTGATGTCGAAATGCCTCGCCAACCGTGTGATCAGGGGACCACAGAAGAGGTGAGTAGGATGCCCACGGATCCGGTGGAAAGTGAGGGCCATGAAGGAGCCCAGGTGAAGCATGTGAGCCGGATCCCCCATCGAGTACATGGCGTATAACACCCGCTTCGGGATCTTATGCGAACCGGTGGCGTTGGGGACGACGGACCGGGTGATCAGCAGGTTCAGGATGTGCCACTGCGGCTTGAGGGTGCTGACGGAGGTCTGGCCAGCATCGAAGTAGTCGTAGCCATGGGCGCGCCTGGCTATCTTGCGGTAGAAAGAAGTCTGGTTCCAGTCGGTCGGGTGGGCAACCTCGATCTCATGGGCATCGAAGGGGTGGTACTCGATACCCAGAGCGTGGGCCAACCCGTCGATGGTCAGCTCCCTGTGATCGCCACCCAACCGGAATGTTACTGCATACTCGTCCCGGGCCATCGAGCGGTCATAGCGATAGGTGGTGTAGAACTCCCACACCAGCTCCGTGAAGGTAGGCTCGTCGATGGTCAGCAACCGCCGCCAGTCGAGGTGACTGATAGCGGCGCTGAGCTCTTGCAAACAGTGGAGCTGTTCAAACACCGCCCACTCGAGGTGGTGGTGACGCTCCAGCTTCCCCCGGATCACCTTGCGGAACTGATCCGCATACTCCGCGTGCAGGCGCAGATCCTGCACGAAGGGATGGTCCTGCGACATGGCCCTGCAAAATCAAAACACCATAGGTGGAGCCAAGAAAATAGATGGTCAGGACTAACGGCATGGGGTCAGTACTTCCCCCACACTCGAGCTCACCTAGGCTAACAAATTAAGCACAGCCAGTTGAATTGCAAGCAACTCAACCGGAATTCAAGGCAGGATCACAGAATAAACCACAATCATCACACGGACAGTTCATCTATCACATACACAGCCATGCAAGCTCGAGTCATCCCTCACCCTAGTCTAAATTAGGCATGCAAACACAGTTCTCGGTCCTAGAATCTACAGTCCGATTTTCCATAAACTAGAAATTAACAGGAAACACACCTGGAAACACAAGGAGGACCGTAGCTAGGACTCGAAAGACGGGTGAGGGGGCGCGAGGAGAGCGAAAAAAAATCGCCCCGGAAACTCGCCGGAAAAGGCCGGAGAGTCGCCGGAAAGTCGCCGGAAAATGTCTGGCGGCGGCGGCGATCGACGGCGACGGCGGCGCGGCGGCCGGCGACGGCGGAGGGCGGCGGAAGGCAGCCGGCGGGCGGCGGCGGGCGGCGGCTTGTGACGGCTGCCGGCGGCGGCCAAGGAGGAGAGAGGGGAGAGGAAATGGGGGAAGAGAGAGAAGTGATTTTGGAAAAAATGAGGGTAGAGAGAGAAATGACCGGGGGTTTCCTTTATATAGGAAAAATACCCGGTCGGGTCTCAAAAATACCCGGTCGGGTATTATCGAGTCCTCGACCGGGGAATTCTGCCAAACGCCGCGTTTCAATGGGTGCAAATCCCCGGTCCCTCGCCAAAAATACCCGGTCGGGTATTTTTGGCGGGGGATCGGGGGTGCCAAAAACGCCGCGTTCCACAGCCGAAAATACCCGGTCTCAGGCCAAAAATATTACCCGGTCGGGTATTTTTGGCCTGAGGCCGGGTTTTTCCTCTTTTTCGTCCCGGAAGGCAGAAGGGGGCCCGGGCATGAGCCAAAAATACCCGGCCGGGTATTTTAGCTCATGACCGGGTATTTTACCCTTCCGGCCAAAAATCTCATTCGTCCCAAAATCGCGACCTCTCCTGCACGAAAACACCAAACCGAGGCATCACAGACGACCGAACTTCATGACAAACATGCAACTGACTTGACACGACACCAAAAACTCAGAAAAAAGGGAAAAGAAAATGCAAACCGTGGTGGGGTTGCCTCCCCACAAGCGCTTCTTTACCGTCTTTTAGCTGGACGCCCATGGCGGAACTAAGGGTCCGCGAGTTCCACCACCAACTCCGCACGTTCGACCTCGCCTCCCAGGTAGAGTTTGTGACGATGGCCATTCACTTTAAACGGCTCAGTCTGCGGGTTGGCAATCTCGATAGTGCCATACGGGAACACCTGGGTGACCGTGAACGGTCCAGACCACCGGGAGCGGAGTTTTCCGGGAAAAAGCTTCAGGCGAGAGTTATAGAGGAGAACTCGATCACCAACCTGGAACTCTTTCGGACCCCACAACCGGGCATCGTGCAGGCGCTTAGTGCGCTCCTTGTACAGCCGGGTGTTCTCATAGGCGTGGTAACGCCACTCTTCCAGCTCCAACATCTGCAGTTTTCGCTCAACACCTGCAACATGAACATCCAAGTTGAGCAGCTTAAGGGCCCAGAAGGCCTTGTGCTCTAGCTCCACGGGCAAATAGCATGCCTTTCCATAGACAAGCCGGTACGGTGAAGTACCAATGGGCGTCTTGTAGGCAGTGCGATACGCCCACAGAGCATCATCGAGCTTGGCGGACCAATCTTTGCGGGACTGATCCACCGTTTTCTCCAGGATCCGCTTGAGCTCCCGGTTCGTCAGTTCGGCCTGGCCACTGGTCTGGGGATGATAGGCCACGGACACCTTGTGAGTCACACCATAGCGAGACAGTAGTTTATCGAATTGGCCCTGGAAATGGGTGCCTCTATCGCTTATGATGGCTCGAGGTGTCCCGAACCGGGAGAATAGCTGCTTCAAAAAATCACAAACAAGTCTAGCATCATTGGTGGGCAAAGCTTGCGCCTCAGCCCACCTAGAGACGTAGTCAACAGCAACCAAAATATAGGTGTTACCAAAAGACGGAGGGAAGGGGGCCCA